GCCCGGCCGCCCGGCTCCAATGCGAGGGCCGAGCAGCTGCAGCCGCCTGGGACTCGCAGCCCCCCCCGCTTCGAAGTGGCGGCGGCGGCTAGGCTGGCTGCAGAGCGTTCCCTGCGCATGCGCAGGAAACGCTCTGTCAGTTTCGGGGGGATTTAAATATCCCCCCAATATTTTTTTAAGAGTTTCAGATTTTTGTGCACACCTGGGGGACCGCCCCACGTGTGCACAAAACTCTCCCTCCCCCCCAGGTGCCCCCGGTACGCGGCTTTAGGTATCCGCACACAAGGGGGCGACTTCGCTATTAGATATATAGATTGTTAAATGCAAATACCTTACTGTGGAGATATGTATTCTTCATTTACTTTTATCAAAAACTATTTGTATGCAGTGTTATTTGAAATAAAATATTTAAATTAAAAAAAATCCGTTTCATCACCTGATGAAGTGTGCCTTGCACTCGCAAGCTCACATCTTGAATAAAACGTTGTTGGTCTTAAAGGTGCCACTGGACTCTTAGCTTTGTTCTGTTGCTTCTGACCAACACGGCCGCCCACTTTGTTCGCAAGCATTTAATCTCTTTAGTAAGTTAGCCTCTAGCCAGAATTAGTAAATCTTTTTCTTAGTGCCATTGCTGTGCTTAAAAGAGTGCTTCCTGCTTTAATTGTATAAACAAAAAACAAAAAAATTAACTTTTGTGTGTCAGGAGTTACTGATTGGATGCATGCACATGCCCTCAGAAACAAACCCAGAGGTTGAAAACCCAGAGCCCTGTGAGGCTCCTTGGGGCCTCGACTGCCTGTCAGTTCAGTGCCTGGGACTCGGAGTAGGGGCTCTCTGGGTCCTTATGGATGCCTCTCCCTTTTCCTTAACCTGAGAGCTGCCCTCTGACCCCTCCTCTCTTTTGGGCCCTTTGTTCTCACCCATTCTCCATGGAGTCACACATCTCTTCAGGTCTCTCCTGCAGAAACAATGCCTTCATCAGGCCCATATCCCAAAAGGTCGGAGACCATTGCTTTGGACGATCCAGGGACTGTGCAAAGCAGTCCTCTTCCCCCTCTCCTTATTTTTACGGCCACTGCTTTTCAAAATCTTTTGCACTTCCTCATCTTTGAGCAATATTCCTTACATTTTTTTCCTGCCATAGATCCGTTCCAGATTCGAGCCTCGGTGAGGGGATGGATCCCCCGCACTCAGCTCCACTCTCCGCGGTCTCTGGCCAGCACTTACACATGTCTAGGTAACACACGGGATAGACTGCTGTCATTGCCGCACGAGGGGCTACCCATGAAGACATGCCCAGACTTTCAGCTGATTAGAAATGTAACTGCTGGAGCCTTCACTGGGACTTATCTTGACACACAAGACCAGGAGGGTTTCATCAACCGTCACACGCTTCCCGTTTGTTTCTGGGCCCAGTTCAAGGGCTGGTCCAAGGGGCACCTGAAGGGGTCCCTCCCTCACATCAGCCTTCCTGAGCCTTACGATCAGATCTCACAGGGCACGTTTCCAGGCCTCCTTGGTTCCTGGTGGTGGGAAAGCAATGTTCTGCCGAGGTGGTACCTGCAGTGGTTCACACAAACACACATGAATCTGCCTTCTGAATCAAGTGGGCAGCCCTGTTGGTCTGAAGCAACAGAGCAAAGCTATAAAACTTCATAAGGTGCCACTGGGACTCTTCATTCTACTGGATGTGTTTGGGTCAGGAATTCTGTCGTCGGGGTGCCACAACAGAGAAGGCCTCGTCCTTCAAAGCCACCCACCAAGTTCCAGAGAGGATGCCCCATGTTTCTAAACACCCAGGTTATTTCATGCACACAGCCTGTTCAAGGGAAAACACTTTTGAAACTGGAGGTGTGATTTGGTCCTCCTTCCACAAAAACCAGTCTGGAGCTGGCCTGTCTCGGGCATAAGGCATACCACGCATGAAAACCATGTGGGGTGGAATAAACTGTAGGAACAGTGATTCTGCGTGGCAAACCCGGAATTCACTTCTCCTGGCTGGAGATTGGGAACCCAAGTGTGTGAGTGCTAATTGCATAAGGTAAAAACATCTGGCTGAGTTCGTCATGAGAAGCTAAGTTGGCAGAGAGACGGGAGAGATAACAGAGAGGCTGCACTGCACATTCTTGAATGTAGTAGCTCATCATCTGGGGTGACTTGTAATATGGGAGGGGAGGAGGGAGAAAGGGGGGGGAAAGAAAGGGGGAAGAGATTTCTTAATAAAAGGCTGTGAAGTGATAAGACTTCAGTCAGATTTCTGCAGACTTGTGCCGTGTGTTGTTCTTTGAACCCCCTTCAACCTTCAATAAACTGTCCCCCTCCCTCACTGGAAAAGAGAGCAGCAGAGGGTGGGCACCTGAAACTGGAAGGTGGGCTCCGAAGCAGAGCGTCTGAGGTTCAGTTCTGCATTTGGGGAGGGGGTGGGGAGCTAAGGTGTTGGAGCATTGAAGATGAGGGAAGATAACTCCAGGGAGAGGAGAGACAGCAGAGCTTGCAGAAGGCAGCGAGAGAGAGGGGACTTTCCCTCCCTCTCCCGGAACCACAGGACTCCGTGAAATCCATGGGCAATAGATTCAGGAGGGGCAGAAGGAGCCACCACTCCCCCCAACACAATTAGCCTGCGAGCTTCACTGCCACAAATGTGATAGACCCTGGCTTAGGTGTTTGGAAAAGGGGACACAAGCAATGTTCCCTCTAAGCTGTGAAGTCTTGTGAGCAAAAATTCTTCTTTATGAGCTACTGGCATTACATAAGAACATAAGAGACGCCAATGTTGGATCAGGCCAGTGGCCATCAATGTTCCCTCTAAGCTGTGGAGTCCTGTGAGTAAAAATTCTACTTTGTGAGCTGCCCGGCATTAAAGTTGTGAGCGAGTGATTTGGCTATTGCATAAATCAGTTGGCTCT